CCTGGCTGCTCCCTCCAAGACCGAGGTCTCCTGAGCTGGGCCAGGCCAGGCCAACCCTCTCCCTGCACACAGCCCACCTCAGCAGTCGCTTCCCAGGCGCCGTGAGACCAGCCCCTTCGGGAGGCCCCCAACCAGCCACTGCAGAAAGACGAACGACAAAATCCAGCAGCCCTGGGGACAAGAGTCCTGTCAAGCTGGAGTAGAGGGGCCTGGCAGAGGGCGCTCACCAACTCCAGCGGACGGCGCACCGACGTGGACACCCCTGAAACCCTCTGCAGTCGTGGAACCATGGTGCACGGACAAAATACCAGTCTCCGGACACCCGCTGTTACTACTCTGTTCCCAAAGCGCTTCCACTGGCCGGGGGCTCCCAGCTCAACAAAGCCCCTCCCATTTGGGCTGGTGGAGGGTGTCCCCGACTGTCCAGCCGCCCACGCTGCCAGACCCTCAGGTCACCCTCATCCTGGGGCGGGTGGAGACTTGGAGAAAACCTCTGGGGAAACAGGCATCAAATCAACACATGAATAGCTCCACTGCTATCAGTAGAAAGAATTCTACTTATTTTGGTACAACGCACAAAAAAGTGCAGAACAGCCACGTGCAGCTCCGAGAACCATCGCACGGCAAACCCGTGCATCCACCGCCCAGGAGGCCCCACAGGCGCAGCTGCGAGTCCCCATTCCCACGGCTCTAGAGCCGCCGTGTGAAGAGCCCACAGCTCTGTCGCCTGGTCTTCTGTCGGTGACCCTGGGGCGGCCTCCAGGCCGGGCTCTGTGCACAGACCTGGGTGGGGAGGCACCCAGGAGAGCGGCGGGCGTATCCAGGGGCCTCGGCGGCCCGTGCCATGGCTCTCCTGTGTCTGTGAACTGACAGCATCCCTTCCCCAGAGCATCAGCTCATGCTGGCCCACGTCCTTGTCATCACTGGTGCGATCACGTAACTGCAAGTGGGGTCGGGCTGCTCGCTGCTCTAAAGCCGTTAAAGAGACAAGGTTGGTGGAGAGGAAAGTTTGCTTTATTTCCAAGGCCAGCAACCGGGTGGGGGGCGGAGATCAGGGAGGGGGGAGGGCAGACTCATGTCCAAAGGCCGACTGGCCCCCCACTGACAGGGGACAAGAGCTTTCACAGACAGAGAGAGGGGGCTACGTGCAGAAACAGCACAGCCAGCTCTGACGCTCACCTTGAAACTGGTCCTGCGGTGGTCTGACCAGCGTCATCTGCACTGTTTTAGGTACAGTCAGTCTTCAGTTCCAGGGTCGGTTTGCTCCCATTTCCTCGAGGCCAGTTCTCAGAACTGCGGCAGCTTATGTCACGGCTACAGCCTGGTCATCACGTAGGTAACTTCTTCCACCTGGGGGGGCTTTCAGTATCTACGAGACAGCTCACAGGATACAGCTCAGAATATTATCCATAGCCCTTGAGGAGGAGCTAAAGGTCCTTGACTTCGCTTAATGACTAAACTATGATTATTTGGTCTCCTTTGACTGTTTTTGTTTGCTTCTGCATTTTCTCACTTCTCTGATTAAAGTTATTCTTTGGCTAAAATTTTTCCACAGACAAAAGGCTGGCGGAGGACATGGTGGGGAAGGACCAAGGGGTCCTGCTCCGTTTCAATCAGGCATTTTAGTTTTAGTCATTTAGGGCATTGGGGGTGGGGTGGAGCTGAAATCTCATTATAACTTTCATTTCTTGGATCACTGACGGGGCTAAAACACTCTCTCACGGTTTTCGTGTCTTTGTCAAATGATAACTGAGATCTGTTGCCCATTTTCTACAGTTGTGTCTTTTTCTTGTTGATTAGCAGCTGCTCTTTATATATCGTGGACAGGAGCCCTTGGCTACGTGAGTAGTTTACCTCTGCCACCCTGGGGCTGAATTTTTCACCCACTTCATTGTGTCGTGCAGGGAATGGGGCTCTAGCCTCTGACAGTGCAGCAACTGGTGGCTTCCAGCTGGACTCGGCCAAAGGGAGGCACCCCAGGGAGCAGGATCGAGAGTCTGGGGTACTCACCCCCCCACTGCCCCTCCCTTAAGCTGCACCTCAGCCATGTTGTGTCCTTCTTGGGGGCCCTGCCTACACCTGCAGCCCAGAGTCCACCACCTGCCCCCCGAGGTCCCTGAGCCCCGGGCGGTAACACCTCCCTTGTGGGCTTCTCCTAACCCTTCCCACCACTTCCTCGGGAGCCCTTTCCCCAAACCCTCTTTCATTACCCCTCTGGATGTGCCGGGACCTTGACCACCATCCCGCTGTGTGTGTCCCGCGGCTGCTGCACCAAAGGACCACAGACGGGGCTGAGACAGCAGCGTTGTCCTCCCGGTACCAGAATCCCGAGTCAAGGTGTCCATGGGGCCGGGCTCCTTCCAAAGGCTCGAGGGGAGGACGGGTTGTGGCTACATCCATCCAACCTCCACCTCTGTCAGCATGTGGTCATCTTCCAGTCACCCTCCCTCTGCATGACTGTGTCCACACTTGTCATCTTTTTTTTTTGCGGTACGCGGGCCTCTCCCTGCTGTGGCCTCTCCCGTTGCGGAGCACAGGCTCCGGACGCGCAGGCTCAGCGGCCATGGCTCATGGGCCCAGCCGCTCCGCGGCACGTGGGATCTTCCCGGACCGGGGCACGAACCCGTGTCCCCTGCGTCGGCAGGTGGACTCCCAACCACTGCGCCACCAGGGAAGCCCCCACACTTGTCATCTTTGCAAGGACACAAGTCACGTTGGGTCGGGCCTACCCTGTGACCTCATGTCAACCGACTAACTCTGCAAAGACTCTCCCTCTAAGCAGGGTCCCATTCTGAGGTCCTGGGTTAGAACTTCAACCTGTCCCCAGGGTGGGGCACATCCAACTCTTAACACTGCTGGAATTTATCTTTGTATTTGACGTAAGGTCAAGGTCAAGGTCAAGGTTCATTCTTGTCCTTATGAGCAAGCAGAAGACCCAGCACCACGTATGAAAAAGGCTGCCTCTCGCCCCATTTCTCTGCAGAACCACCTTCACCCTCAGAAGTGCCCGTACGTGGACTCGAGGGTCTGTTTCTTGCTCTTTGGGTTCATTTCTTTTTCAGCTTCACGCTGGCTTCAGCACGAAAGCTCATGATGAGAACAGGAGTCTGGGAGAGCCAATCCTACCAAGTTGGCCTTCGGGAGAGTCCCGGCTGTTTTTAACTCTCGGCATTTTCAGACATCTTGGAATCAGCTGGCGATGTCCCATAAGACATGTACGCTGCTGGAATTTCGATTGGGACCCTATTGTTCTTAGGAAAAGAACTGACATTTTATAGCATTGAGGCTTCTAACCCACGTACACGGTATATGAACGTATCCAGTTTACCTTAATTTCTCAATAGTAGCTTATGGTTTACTGTGCAGAAGCCTGGCACCATTGCTGCCTTGGATTTGTTCCCAGCTAATTGATTTTTTTCACTGAGTTGTAAATGAAGTTTCTCTAAATTTCATTTTCTAAGTATGCAGTGCTCGTGTATAGAAACAGTTCATTTTTGTGTACAGAGCCTGTGGCCAGTCGCCTTTCTAAACTCGCTAATGAATCTGAACAAGTCACTTGCAGGTGACCTGGACATCCTCCACACGGGGTCACGTCACCTAGGACCATCTCAGGTTCGCCACTTCCTTGCAAATCCTTCTGCCTTTCCCTTCCTAGAAGCTTCTGACGCTTCACCAAGACACAGGTCAGTTGCCCTAGTACTTTGTAAACCCCTTAATCAGATGAGGATGCTCCCGTTAGTTTCTAGAGCGGCATGAGTTTTTGCCATGAATAGTTGCTCACTTTCATCCAGTGCCTTTCCTGCAGCTAATACCACGATCAGAGGATTTTCCCTCCGCTCTATTAAGTGATGGAATCATGGACTGATTCACGATCCCTAAACCAACCTAGCAGTTCTGGATGGAACCCTACAGGTTGTAAAGTACCTTCCTTTCCACAGATGTGGCTGGATTCGCTGTAGGGTGTTTACCTGGGCTCCTGAACCTACGTTCATGGGTGGGTGTGACGTTCAATTTTTCCTTTCTCGTAATGTCCTTGCCCGGTGTTGACACCAAGGTGTGGCACTGCGGTACCAAAGGAGGGGCTCAACCTGGGGCACGGTCGGCTGCACAAGGCCACCACTTCAGTGGGGGATGAGGGAGGGGGATGGGAGACCCCACACGAGCATCTTCAAAGGCTCTTGCAGCCAAGAAACGGGCCGGCAGCCAGCAGCCAGGGAGCATCGTCATTGCCCCTTCAAAGGTGAGGAACTGAGGCTCAGAGAGCTAAGGACACAGCCCTGGTTGGGGGGGGGCGGGAAGTGTCTGCACTCACGCTGCTCTGCCCTGTGCCCCACGGCCCCGGGGGTCCCTGTGCAGCACGAGGGAGTCAAACTCAGTCAGGCTCCAGCAGGGGAGTCGAGATGGGGCACATCCCGGCTCCCGCTTGCAGCCCCCTCACTCCCGCTGTGCCTGGCTCTGCCCAGATGGTCCACTCCAGGGGAAGCGCCCGGCAGCATGGCCCAGGCCGTGTCACGGAGCCACCCCTGTCCCCCAAGCCAGGGTCGTCGGTCAACCCCCGGTGGGGAAGGGCATCCAGGGCTGCCGTTCCCCCGGGGCCGCCCCCCGAGTCCCAGGGCCCCATGACCAAGCCACACAAATGTCTGGGTGGCCGTCAGAAGGGAGACCTCAGGGCTGCCCAGGTCAGCAAGTGGCTCTGTGACTTGATCATTGATGGGAACACAAGGACCCTGGAAGCCTGCCCAGGCGGACACACCCGCTGTTCCTGGAAACAGCATGACTGCACCACGCACGGGCAGGGGGGCTGTGGACAAGGGCAAAGTGGCCATTGTTGGCCGCAGGCTCAACAAATAGAAGGTAATTGTGGTCAATGGGAGGGGGCTGGTGACAGCCCGCCACGTGGCCAGGAACCTCTCCCGGCAGGGGACAAAAGGGCCACCACCACGGGCTCTGGACACCTGTCCGAGGTGCCGCCGGCCATCCCTCAGCCCCCCTGACTCGCCATGAGCCTCCTGCTGCTGGCTGTGGGGCTGACCCTGCTCGGCTGCCCCCAGGCCCTGCACTGGGGGCCCCAAGACCCCAACTTCAACGAGACTCTGGTAGTCAGCCGCGGGCGTCGGGCGTGGGATGGAGAGGCGGCTGGGGGCAGCAGCCACAGGGACAGGGCCGGCCGGCACCAGCGTCCCCCCCTCTGCTCCCCAGGTCAGCGGCGAATGGTTCTTGGCAGGGATGGCCTCCAACCAACCTAAACTCCTGAAGGAGGACAAGGACGCGGGGCTGCTCGTCCACCGTATCCAGGTCACCCCCAAGGCCCTGCAGCTCCACCTGCACAAGAAGTAAGTCAGGGGCAGGTGCGGGCAGGGCGGAGCCCAGGTGAGCCGCACGACCCTGTCCCCCGCCCCCCTCACAGCCTGCTTTCCGGGCTCAGAGGCGATGGGGGGCGGGGCGAGGGGTTCGCTGCCTGGAGACGGACACGACAGTCCAAGGTCCAGGGTGGCCGAGCTCCCCCAGTCCCACCGAGGGGCTGCACGGAGAAGGCCGAGCCCTGCCTTCCAGACGCGGGTTCCAAGGCGACCTGTCACCCCCTCCCAGGGTAAACGGTGCATGCGTCCCAATCACGATGATGGCAAATAAAACGAAAAGGAAATTTCAGTACCGGCTGGAGGGTAAGTATAGACTCGCCATCCTCCAGCCCCACCGCTGGAGGTGGAGTGTGGCCCCGTCCGCCCGGCCCCACGCCACCCCCAGTTCGGGGCTGAGTGTGGCCAGGAGCCCCGCTGCCGGGACGCCCACCTCGAGATGGCGTCCCCGGGCTGGGCGCGGCACCCCGTGGCACCGGCAGCAGTGGCGGGCACGTGTGGGCGGAGGCGTCCGGGAAGGGCCCGAGGGCCACACCCGGTCCTGCCCAGCCCGGGGCTCGGCTGGCCCTTAGGAGCGGGTCGTCCAGCCCTGTGAAGGGACCAGAGGGGCCCCAGGGTCTGGTTCTTGTCCCGCCTCCCACCCTGACCCCCGGGGTCACAGATGCCGACCAGAACAGGCTTTTCCTGGAAAAAGTGGACCCCAAGAGCTACGTCATCCTCTGCAACCACCGCGAGAAACGTGAGAAGGAGGTGGTGGTGGTGAACCTGCTGAGTAAGTGCCCAGAGACCCCTGCCTGCCTGTGCCCACACGTGGACCACCCGCCACCCCACAAGGGCAGGGCGAGCCCCTCCCCCCGCCCCCTCCAGGGACACCCAGTCCCCAGGGAGGACACCGGGCCACAGGCAGCAAGACACAGGATGGACCCCGGCCACCTCGAGGGCGTCTGGACCCAGACACCCTCAGACTGTCCTGGGGCCCCAGCCCTTTATCCCAATGTGGAGTAAACAAAGGACAGGAGACAGCAACGACCAGGACCCAGAGAAGAGGCCTGCCCCCACCCCAACACTGGGCCTGTCCCCATAGCCACGCCCACACCCCAAGAGGGCAGCCTCCCAGCCCACAGAACCCCACCGCCCGCGGTCCCAAATGACCAGCAAGACAGACGGCCCCTGGCACTGTGCCCCCAGGCCGGACACCCGAGGCCAGCCCGGACGCCCTGCTGCTGTTTACCAACTACTGTAGAAGCCATGGGATTCACCCCACCAACATCATCAAAGTGACCGCAACTGATGCGTGCCCACGCCTGCCCCAGCCTCGGACCTCCGCTCAGCTCGCCACAGATCACTGCCCCCGCGCCTGACAACGGGGAGGCTGCCGGGCCCAGGTGGGTGACCTCTGACCCTGTGGGGACGGCAGCAGGGGATCCCCTGGGGGTGGGGGTCGGCGGCAGGTGCCGCTCGGCACAGGTGTTACCAGCTGCTCCACGCGGGGCCTGGCCCTCTCGGAGACTCAGGATGCAGTGCCGGGGGGCGTGGGAGGGACCCAAGGTGGGGACGCCCGTCGGGCTGACCCAGGCTGACACGGGCAGGGCCAGCGGGGGGGCAGAGGAGCCTGTGGACACACTCGGGGTGGGCCTGCAGGTGGAGGGCTATAGAGGGCAGACCTTGGGGGTCCAGAGCCTGGCTCTCAAGACAGTGCCCCGCCCCTCCCGCAGGTCTGCCCCCGCCGTCCCCCACCACTGAGCCTGCCGCACCCCCGCTTGTTCACAGGGGTGTCTCCCAGGCACCGAAGGACCAGAAGATCTCGGTTAACCCAAGGAACCCTTCAGCTGCCCCACCCCCTAGCAGCAGCCTCCGCCCTCCTGGAGGCCTGTCCTGCTGTGTCCAATAAATGATTGACCCGGACCCAGTGTGCTCTGGGGGGCCTCAGCCCGAACACAAGCGTGGCCAGTGCCAGCATGGTGACCGGGAGCTGCCCACTGACACCCCATCCCAGGCCAAGGCTGCTGGGGACAGGGGATGGGGAGCCTCCTGGCGACACCAAGCTGGCCTTGGACTCACGTCCACGGGGTTTGGAGAAGCTGCTACAGGTTCACCAGGACACCGTTCAGAGCGCAAAGCTGGGAGATGGTGCGGGGAAGGGGCGAGGCCAGGCCCCACGGCCACCCTGGTCCCCTCAGGCTCGGGGCTGCGGGCAGTGGCAGCCCCAGGGCTCACCCCGTGGTGGTGCTGTGGGGTGAGACCCCGGCAGTGGGGTCTCCGGGCAGAGAGCACAGCTCCAGTGGGTCGGCCAGCAGAGCACCTGCAGGTTAGGGGCCCCTTCAGACCACACCCTGGTCTCCCCTAAATGACAGTGGCTGAGGCCCTAGGGGCGGACACGGTGGCTGGGCAGGCAGCAGAGGACGTGTCTTACCCCCCTCGAGCTGCCAGAGCCTGGTGGGTACCCCCTAAGCCCCCCTCTGACGCACACAGTGCCCAGCCAGGGCTCCCACCTGGGGCCAGGGCCCGGGTGGTCCACTTGAGTCCCCCATCAGCCAGGCCCCCTCCACTGGACCCCAGCCTCAGGGAAGCTCCCTGTCCCACAGCTGGTGAGCCCCTTTGCTCCCCCAAGGGCTGTACCTCGGGCCACTGTCGCCCCAGGCCAGGGGGCTCTCTCCGGTGGCCAAGAGTCCCCCGAGGCCGTGTCTTGGGCCAGGCTCCCAGCACCCCGGGGCACATGTCACAGGCAGGGGTATCAGCCAGCCAACACCCAGCCCCTGGCACAGCTAAGCCCGCCCACCAGGCGTGGGAAAGTCAAGTGCATTCGGAAAGAGCCCAAGGGGCCATTTGTGCGAAGCCAGGCCTGCCGGGATCCCAAGGGGCTCCCGCAGCGCACAAAACACGTCACACACACACACAGAGGCTCAGACGGTCGCGCACAAACCACACACACGCACATGCGTGCGCGCGCGTGCTCAGACGGGCCAGGCAAAGGCATCTGGAGCAGAGGTCACAGCCCTGCTTTGGGCATCCCCAATGGATATAAAAGGACGTGCTGGTGGCAGGGGTGGGGGACAGCCTTCTAAGCCTGGTCTTTGTCCTTTGAGGCTCCGTGATGCTCTGATGGGGACGGTGGGGTGAGTGCTGGGCCCTGACACCACGGAGGAAGAAGCCGCCCTCCCGCACCACCTCCAAGGACAGAACTCCCACGCCCTCCTGCTCAAACCCTGAAACGTACCAGAGACGTGCCTGGGGGCACTGTTAGCTCTGGAATCCCTCCCCCATTTGTAAAGCAAAAGCCGTTAAAAGAGAGAAGACCGGGGAATGGGAAGCCGTGTCCTCCAGAGGACCCTGGGGAGTCAGGCTGTGGCTGTGATGCTGCTGGACTCGTCCCCCAGAGCTGCCCTCGTCCCCCAGAGCTGCCCTCCACGAGGGGTGGAGACGCTGCAGACCCCGACACTCCTCCCACGTGTCCTTCTGTGCTGTTTAGAACCCTTTCCACCACCCCACCCAGGGCACCGGGTTCAGGAGCCACCTGCCCCAGCAGAGGCCGTGTGCCCGGTAGGTATCCTGACCCCTGGCCCCTCACTGATTGAGGAGCTGCATTCTGAATAAGCTGCCCCCCGCCCCAATTCACAAGCCCCCGTGAAGCACAGGCGCTGCACCCCTGGGGCTACCGGGGGTGCAGCCTGGACAGGGACTTCCCAGCCGCCTGGGATCTGGGCTGCGCGCACGCACTTGGCCGGCTTGGCTACACGCGACCGCAGGAAGCACCGGGACAGGACAGCGGCCCAGCTCGGCCCCGCAAAGAGGCCAAGGGCGTTCTCCAGGGTCCCACGCCCCTCTTCCTTGCTGAAGGGTCTGCGTCCTGGTGGCCACTGTGCCATCACCTGGCCTCCAACGTCCATCCCAAACCCAGGAACAGGGCACTTTCGGGACAGTCCCCGAGCAGGCCCAGAGCAGGCTGGGGGGCAAGGACTCACTGAGGAACGATGCCCTGGGAGGGCCCACGCAGAGAAACCCCAACACGGGGAAACAAACCCACCACCGGCTGCCCCAGGCAGCTTCGCGGCCACGGAGATCAGCCTGGGGACAGGCCCTGAAGCTTCTGGGCGAGGTGTCCCCTCCACCTGCCACCCCGCCCTTCACCAACAACTTTCCTTTTCGGGTTAGGATCCCCAGCGTTTCAAATGAATTGAGTACAACCAACCTCCACGCTTACAATAATAAGATACAATTTCTAAGACACGTAATGGGATTGTTTTCTGCGCCGAGAAGGCAGCACAGGGCATCCATCCATTCAGCGAAAGCTCCTGGCCTGACTCTCCCGAAGGCAAATGCAGGAACTGGGCACGTCAGCTTGACCCCATCAGCAGAGACGGGGGAGATTCACATGATCCGGAAGCTTCTCTCCCACCGCCCTCAGAAGCAGAGCCAGCCATGTCCCTGGGGCTCGGGGAGGTTCCTTAGAACCGGCACCACCAAGGGCACCCCCTGCAGGAAGGGCTGGCCAGGCCCCGGACAAACCAGACACCAACTCTGGCCTCGCTGGGTGCTCCCTGCCCTGGCACCCAGGCCCCATCCAATGGCAGCGGCTTTGGAATGCACGGGAGCCCAGGCCCCCCTTGCCATGGCTCTGCACATGCCACCTCCTCCAGCCCCATAAGCAGCAGGTGGGGCGCTGACCCGCTGGTCCACGAGTGGACACTGTGGGCGCCAGGGCCTCCCTGGGCTGCTGCCTCTGCAGGGTCCGCAGCTCCGAGGGCACCAGCTGCCTGTGTCGAGGAGCTTGGGGCCACCCGCAGGTCCCAGACGGGTTAGAGACGGCCAGACAGGGCCCGCGAGGGAAGGGGACCACCTCCGTTTGTACCCCTTCCGACCACCAGCCCCGAAGCCCATTTCTGCTGAGACCCCTTGAGAGAAGAATCAGGACCCACATCCCTGGGACCTCCCTAGACCCCACGCCTCCATCATACGGCTTAGCTGTCCCCGCCCTGTCCACCAGCACGTGGCCACAAGTGTCCTCTTCTCCTCTGGAAGAGTCAAAAAGATTCCAGAAGGTTCTGGAAAAAGGAGAAGAGGGAGGGACTCATGGTGGGCCCTGGAAGGTGACCAGGTCCAGCACCACAGGGGACACTGGCTCCCGGCCACAGCGTGAGCTGCAGCTCTGACCCCTGCACAGGAGGGCCAGACCAAGGCCCCCACCCTCCCCAGCGTCAGGTACGACCCTGAAGAAAACATTGAAGCCAGGTGGGCCTGGGCATGGCTGCCCTGGGGACCCTGTCATGCCATAGGCACCCTGCTGTGCCCAGGTGGCAGGCTGTAGCACCCGCTGGGGGATGACGAGGTGTCCTGGGTTTCAAGAGACCAAAGGCGGGGCTGGAGGAAGACTGAGCCTGTTTCTGGCTCTTTCAGGCCTGTAGAGTCCAGCTTCCAGGACAGGTGGGGCCTGTCCTTTGCCCAGGTGTCCCCCCACGGGGGGTGGGGGGCGGGCACACTGAGGCCAGGCTGGTTGGGCGAGGGTCTCGGGAGGGCTGAGGCCTGAAGCGAGGGAACCATTTCTCTCACTCATTGGGCACCTGGGTAGGAGATGGACAGGATGGGCCTGGCCTTACCAAGAGAAGGTCACGTTGGTGGTCGGCAAGGCCCTGGCACTGTGCTCTCCAGACCCCTGAGGATGAGCAGTGGCCGGCCCCTCCCAGGTGGGCAGGGAGGCCCTTGGCTGTGCCAGGCTCCAGGTCAGGACCCGTGACCAGACGCCGTGTGAGGCTCCTGGGCAGCCCTGAGCACCCTGACCACGACACCAATGGGGAGTGACCCAAGGTGGCCTCGAAGTTCAAGGAGGAAGATGGGCAGCAGGGAGGGCGGGAGGCGGCAGAGGAAGGGGAGGCAGGGCTCGGGGAGGGTGGACGGCGGTGCTGGCAGAGCAGCTGGCCACCTCCCAGCTCAGCCGGCTGACAGACCCCAAGGCGCAGCCACAGACACTGCCCAGCAACAATGTCCGGGGCTGAGAGGTCGGTGGACCTGGGAGAGGGTGCAGCCTGAGGGTGTCTGGGGTCCTGCCGAGCCCCACGTCCCCCTCCGTGCAAGCAGCAGCCACTGTCCTACTTCCGGGAGCCCCTGGGGGTGGGGGGAGGAGAGCAGGTCACCTAGAGAGCTGGGGGTGTTATGCTGAAACCCCCTCACTCCCCAGAACAAGCCTGTAGTCACCACCGTGCTTTCTAAATCCACCCCGAACACCCAACTGCAGCCAACAGGGTAATTTGCTTAGAAAAGGGCCAGAGCGGGGGAGGGGTGGAAAGCAAGCTGCTTCCGGGACCCCCAGCTCCTTTCCGCTCCAGCAGCCGTGACAGCCCAGCCCCCACCAGGCCCGGGCGGCAGCCCTTTCTTCTCCCCACCTTGGAGGGGGGTCAGCTTTCCCAGCACTCCCCCAGGCAGCGAGGGAGGTCTGGCCCCAGACGGCCGTCCGTCCCGTGTGGGCATCTGCAGCGGCGCCCGTCCCGTGTGGGCGTCTGCAGCGGCGCCCGTCCCGTCTGGGCGTCTGCAGCGGCGCCCGTCCCGTCGGGGCGTCTGCAGCACTGCCCGTCCCGTCTGGGCGTCTGCAGCGCTGCCCGTCCCGTCTGGGCATCTGCAGCGGCGCCCTGTCTGACGCAGCAGCTTTGTGCTTGTGGTCCCAGGGCCTGCGGGACCCGACCCAGGACCCTGGCCCAGGTGCAGGGTTGACGGCTGCTCTCCTCCCATGATGGGGCAGGCGCCACTCACCCACCCCTGCTCTGGCCCCGCCAGCCTGCCTGGGCCCCTGGACCCTTCTCAACACCAGCTCCGAGCGCCCCCCCCCTCCTTCACCAGCTGGAGGCAGTGCAAGTGAGCCCTCCTGCCACCCGAGGTGGGGTCCTGCCCCTCGCCTTCTAAAGGTCTAAGTGGGGAGTTTAAGGGTCAGGGTGAGTCCACCCACCCGCTGGGGGTCTCAGTCGGGCTTTTGAACAAGTTGAGTCCCAGCTCCCGGCCTCCCTCCCAGGGTGCTGGGGTGAAGATGCCCAGGGCTCCAGAAAAGGACAAGCAGGGATCAGGGTGGGCTGAGCCCCTGACCAGCTTGGGTCAGAGACTGGCACCACCTTCGCTGTGACTGAAAGGTGATGGGATTCAGGCAGGGTCACTCCTCACAGGAAGCCAGTGCCTCCCCGATCCTTGGGGACGGGAGCAGCTGAGGGTCCAGACGTGAAAGCCAAGCGGCCTCCGTCCCACACCCCCCAACGGGCCCTGCACGGGGAGCACCAAGGCCAGCACCTCAAAGGCAGAGGTGGTTCCTTTCCCAGGCGCCCCCGCTGGTCCGGAAAGAGGCCTCCCCAATGGACCTCTGTGGGGCCCCTCTGACCAGCCTCACGGGCGCAGGGAGTTGGGTCCCACGCCTGCCTCTTGGGGAGCAGACCAAGGACACAATTCCTCATCTGTGGACCCCTCCCCTCCCTAGCCCCAGGGCCAGGTTATTTAGGGATCCCCCAGGCCAGGAACATCATAGGAACAAATCCCCAGGCAGGGGTGGCTGCACTTTGAACAGAAGCTGCACCATCTGCCCAGTGAATCGCGTTAATTACACGAAATCTACACAAGTTTTGCTTCCTCCAGAAACACTGCTTTTCCTCTTTTAATATCCAGCCTCCGCTTCCCCAGCCCCCCACCCCACAGCCTCGCTGGAATTAGAGCACAGCTGCAGCCCAAACCCCAAAAGCAATGCCCAAGCGTGCCGCACGAGCTGCTGCAAAGGCCCCGTGCCCCGCGGCCTGGCGCGACCCGGCCCTCAGTAAGCAAAGAAGTCGGGGAAGATGGTGTCTACCTCCTCCCGCAGGGCCGAGCTGGGGCAGCTCACGTCTGAGCTCCATGGCTCCAGGGGCCCGTCAGGGGGGTCCTGGGAGCCGGGCTCATGGTCGCCCAGGAAGCTGGGCTCTGCCCTGTCCAGCACGCTGCTCCTGGCGGGGACCCGAAAAGGGGCACTGCTGCCTCTGCCCTCCAGGGACCCTGGAAGCAGACGGGACGTGTCAGAACAGGCAGGTACCCCAGGGCACGCAGAGTGGACTCTGTGCAGAAGGGGGCCCCCCTCTGCCCATCTGTCCCACCCAACCAGGAAGCCCTCTGCTCATCCTTGAGGTGGGAACAGAGGACCCCTGACCAGGTGGGTGGGCCCACTCCTGCCGGCCCTGCTTGAGACGCAGATCCAGGAAGGGGCTCCCCCACCCCATGAAGCCAAATCCTGCAGACGCGGGACTCATCGCACGTCCAGACGCCTCTGTGGGGACGAGGTCTCGGGAGAAGGCTCTGAAACTGACTCGCAGCCACACACACGCAACCCCGTGTTGCCGTGCACTCGAGCGCACAGATAACTCCCCACACACCGCTTGTCATTCCCACCGGTGGTCCCCAAAACCACCAGCAGAGAAGAAAACGGGAGCTCAGAGACAGACGCTGAGACCTTAGTGTCACACAGCAAGCTGGACCCCATCCCATCTCCCCAACAGCCCCAGCTGCCTGCCCAGCCCGCAACAGGACCAACCCAGACCCCAAAGCCTGTCCCAGGTTAGGGGAGGAGGTGGCCCGGGCCGAGCACCCCCCACTCACCCAGCCACCAGTCAGGACTGGCCGTCAGCAGAAAGGACGACCCGTCTTCGACGTCATACCCCGACACAGACCTGGACGCAACAAGGACACCCTCGCCCTGAGTCACCCCAGCTGGACCCCAGGCCTTGCACCTCGAGAGAAGAGCGTGGGCCCTGAAAGGCAGCTGTGGGTTCAGAGACAACGGGGTGCGCCCTCCCAGCCGGACCCTGAGCCCACCCTCCTGCCTGCCCCGAGCCAGCCCAGCCCGCTGCTGCTTCCTCTCCAGCCCCAGCAGCTCCCAGCCCACGCCCCAGCTGGTAGAGCTCGCAAAACACAAACTCACTTACTGTCAACCAAAACGGACGACCATTAAGGAGACAACAGCGTTTCCAGAAACACGTTAGAAAGCCACATACGTGGCAGGGTCTAGCTGCTCCGGGACCAGGCCAGTGGCCTGGGCCGTCCAGGCAGACACTGAGGATGTGAGGGGCGGAAACTTCCCGGGCAGGGGGTCCAGGCAGAGCTCGGGCAGGGCTGGGAGGAGGCATGTAGCGGGTCACGCACACACCACTGGGACACCCACCTGGCATCCAGCGTTATGGCCTTGTCAGTCCCTTGACCTGGGGACCCAGCCCGGCCCAAGCAGCTCTGAGACTCTTCGCTCACCAGCGGGGAGGGTGGCTGCCGCGACCACAGCATGGGCGGCCTCAGGGCCCTGGAGGGACTCAGGCCTGGAGACCGGAGGACCAGGCTGGGCGGCTCTGTGGGGGAAGTGAGGCGTGGGTCAGCCTTCCCCACCTGGAGAGCAGCCCTCCCCTGAAGACCTGAGTCCCTGCCCACTGTGTCCTGCATAAAGAACCCGTGGATTTCAAGAGCAAAAAACCAACAAGTAACCAGGAACAGACAGATAGCCAGAGATGAGGCACCTGACACCTGGGGCCAGGGAGGCTTCCTGGTGGAGATGCCGACTCGGCCTCAGGTCAACCATGGGGGACTCGGACCTGGGGACTCTCACACTTCCACCTCTTCCTCCATCTCCGTGATTCCTGACCAAGGACTCCACCCTCAGACCACCGTGCTGGGCAATTCCTGCACCCTCACACCCTGAGCTTGAGTCCCGACCTTCTTTGGGGGGCCCAGCTCTGCTGCTGGCCCTGGCGACAGCAAGACCCCCTCCCCGCCTTGAGGAACACACCAGGGGAGGGGGAAGGCACAGTCTCGCCTCCCGTGGCACTCGCAGACTGGCAGCCGTGGTCCAAGCAGTGACCAACCGCCATGGCAGGCATCCAGCATGAGGGAAGTGCAGTCATCACACTGCCCTGGGGGCCTCGTCGGAGGCGGCACGACGGGAGGACAAGGGCCCGCTCACACTCACCAGGCAGGGCCGGCGGCCCACCCAGCACTGCGGCCGCCCCCACCGGGGCCTTACCGTCGTCCACATCCGCAGCTGCACGGCTCGGGGAAGCCTGCTGCCTGAAGCACGCAAAGACAGAAGGAGAAACCTCTGAACAGTCCGCACACACCATGCCCGGGAGTCCCCTAGCCCCACTGGGACACTAACATGGTCACGCTGGACGTTCCCACGCCGGGGTCCGGGGCACCTGCTGGGGTCTGACTCGCCAGGGCCACCTGCAAAACATCCTTCTGCCACGTGTGCCATGTCTCCTTCGTAGAAGCAAGAACCAAAAACGGAAATAGACACAAAAAACGCAACAGAGACCATCAACCAGAAAACCCACAAAAAAAGCAGGCTGTGGTCCCTCACTGGCCACCCTGCCTAGGGCCCCAGAGGTCCTCCCTGAGTGCAGACCGTGTCCTCAAGACTGGGGGGTGGGGGCGGGAGGGAGGCTGAAGGCCATGCCCGCCTGGGGACCTCACAGCAATGGGCCTTTTACCCATACCAGCCTTGGCACCGTGGGCAAAAGTACAAAGAACATAACTGGAGAACACGGCTTGTCCCCGGGGCTCCCGCAGGAGGTGCTGAGCACAAACGGAGGCGTGTCTGCAGAAACGCAGCAGCCCCGGCAGTGCGAGGCGGAGGGCAGAGGGAAGCCAGGCAGCCGGGTGGCCAGAGCTGCCCGGGGCATGGGGGATGCCCACGGCTCCTCCCCAGAGGGCTGACAGGGCTGCCGCAGGGCAACTCACAGCGTGCTTCTCCCAGCCGGGCACCAGGGTGCTGGCGAGCCGGAGGAACTGCACCGACATCTCCAGGACTGAAGCCATGTCCTCCCGCCGGCCGTCGAACTGGGGCAGCAGGGCCCGCAGGCGCTCACAGCTCAAGGAGATCCGCTTCCTGCCTCCAGGGAAGTGACCACCGACCATGGGGGAGTCTGGCCTTGACCCGGAAAAAGCACCACAGCCACCAGAACCTCCTGAGCCCTTTAGGGATCGTGTCAGCACACACGCTGGCCCAGGGCCCTGAACCCCAAGCTGCAGGCTATCCAGGTATTTGCCGCGGGCGACCCAAGCCTGCACCGTCACTGCCTGGGGGGGGTTGGTGGCACATGCACAACCTCGAGGTGCCCAGGACTTCAGGTCAAAGAAAGGGCTGCAACGGCGGCCCTTGGGACCCCCACCCCCAAAAGCATGTGTTATATTCATCTCGGGGATGTACTAAGCGTTCCCTTACCCGACAGACGGCACGAGCCTGTCCCAGCCACCTGAAACCAGCTCGCGGGCACAAACCTGACCTCCTCTGACCCCCAACCCCACTGCGCGGCCCCCACCTGCGCTGCCTCTCGCTGAGCACGTTCCGTGGGAGGTAGGAGACTGGACCCTTGGCCACCGCAGGGGCCTTGGCCTGGCCTGAGCCGTGGCACAGATCCTCGCAGCGTAACTGGGTCCCAAACAGGAAAGGGCCGCTGCTGAAAAAAGCCAAGAGCGCCGGGCTCTGTGATCCCAGAAAACGCCCCCGGAGCCCCGAGGCGGTGATGGACATCTTGGGAGGCGGGCGCAGGACAAGGCCTGGGTCGCCCAGGAACACGGCCCTGGGCCCTACCTCTTGGCACCCCTCCCTCTTTCCCCCAAAGGGCCGGGGGTCGGGGTTCTGCCCCAGGCGGGCCAAGCTGGGTGGGGACGGGGATTCGGTGCATTTGAATTGGATAGAAGCGCCAGGTCTGGACACCCCGAGCACCCCCAAGCAGGGGCGTTCCAGCTGACCCCCTCCGGCAACCCCCCCCAATTCTCACCTGCACCCCTCGGAGCCGGGGGCTCCGGGAAGCCCAGCGTCTGACGGAAGAGCCCTGAACGCCATACGCACGCAGCTGGAGCTAGTGGAGAGGCCAGCAACGCGCCCGGACCCCCACGTGCGCCCCGCCCCACGCAGGCCGTCCTGCAGCCCCTCCCCCTCACGTGCACTCGGCCCACCCCCACGTGCTTCCCGCCCAGGCAGCACCTGGCCCGCCCCCACGCGCGCCCTGCCCCCACGCGCCCCGCCTCCCTCACATGCGCTCTGCCCCGCCCCACGCCCGCGTGCAGTGAAGCTCCGCTCGCCGAGAAGTTGCCAGAAAGAAGCGGCGGCTGGGGTAGGTGGTCAGAGTAGGTGGGCTTCTTCCACCCCTTCCGGGTGGTCGGCGCAGCTCCCGCTTAGTGGGGTCTCCCCTCACCTACCCACTGCGGGCGCCCCCGGGTGCCAGCCCCGAGCTGGGCGCTACCCTCAAGGGTCTCACGACTGGGGGGGCCAAGTAGACTACGAATCTGTGGAGGGAGGGGCAGGAGGGTGTCCTCAGGGCGAGGTGGTTTTCGGGAGCGAGCTGGGCTGCGTCCCAAGCAGGAAAGAACGCGAGCCCAGGCGGTTCCCTGGGCTGGCACGTGGGTGAGGTGGGCAGGTAGGATCCCCTGTGTGGCAGGAGGAGTTGGGCTTACCTGAGAGCAGAGGGGCCGGGGAGCTACAGGTGTGGGAGGAGAAGGTTTCAGGATCAGTGTGGCCCGTGGGGGACGTTGAGGCCCAGGTAGGGGAGCTAAGATGGGAGCGGGGAGGCTGGTCAGCCAAGATCTATGGGACTCCGGCTGGTTAAGGATGGGCAGAGGGGCCCCACCTGCCCCTGAGGGCCTGCTGGTCCAAGGTTCACTTGTGCCCGTCCCCCAGATGGCATCCTCTTGCAGGGGAAGCTCTGCCTAAGCCAGTGCCACCGCCCACTCAGGAGCCAGGAGGCTTGCAGATGCCTCCCAGCCTTGTCTCTGATCCCACGCACCCTCTCTGTGCCTTCCCTAGCACCCGGGCTTGCCTGAAGGCTGGCTGGCCTTCCTGCCTCACCCACCCCTGCCGCCTGCCCGCCCCAGGCCCGGGCCTTCATTCTCGGGGCTGAGCCCTGGCTCTGCCCTCACACAGGCCTTCGCTCCTGCTCTCCCTCCCCGCCCCCCACCTCCAGATGCAGACTCACTCCACGAAGCCCCCGTCTCCAGCAGCTTCTGGGCACCTCACTCTCCCCGCTTTTAGTGCACAGTGTGAGTGGTTCCAGGTCTGTGCGCACCTCACCGGGTCTCCAGGGGCCGTCCCAGTGCTGGACATGAAGCCCACAGGGGCTTTGTTGGAGGAGTAATGGAAGGAAGGGAGGGAGGAAGGGGAAAGTGGAGACTGGTCCTTTTTCAGAGAGGTGGATCTTTAAGGGGAGGGGAGGATACTAAAGCTCTATTTCAGTCAGGAGGACTTCAGAGCAGTGCTGTGGGCTGCTGTGGGCGTGGGGGGCAGTTGCTGGGCGAGTTCACAGGGAAGCGAGGCAAGAGGGAGCTGGGGCAGGTGTCACTGCGGTGGTCAAAGTGCGCCCCAGGTGCTGGGCCTGGGACGGAACTAGGTGACAGAGCAGAGCCCCTGCCCCCGGGGAAGCAGGAAACCTGTCTCCAACTGAGGAGGGGCTCAGGGCTGCAGGTGGGCGTCCTGGGGTGGGGCTTTGGGCGGCGGGAGCACCCAGAGATGGGCGAAGTGCAGCCGTGGGAGGTCCTGCCACTTGAGGGCCTGGGTCCACGTCTCCACTCTGCTCAGCTGAGTACTGAAGGTGGCATGGGGGAGGGGCCGGCCAGCCTAGGCTGGGGCCGCAGGTCAGATGCTGGAGGACTGGCGGGGGCGGTAACATGTTGCACGTGGAGTCAGGCCATGCAGGAGAGGCGGCAGAACCCCAGGAGGCCGGGCCTGGGATAAAGGGAGGGCTGGGCAGGGGACAGAAGTCGCCTCGCGATCGAGGGTGATGCTGTGAGGATGGGTGGGCCGGAGATCAGGTTGGGGAGCCAGGAGGCCAGGGCCCATGTGCTAGGCCCGCACTCCCGACAGAAGGGGGCGCTCCAGGGCCTCTGCTCTCCAGTCCTGCGCAGCCCACAGCCTGGCTTCTGTGTTGAGTCCAGGGAAGGCTGGGGATGGCCGGTTCTGCCAGCACGTACGGCCCGGCATTTACGGGAGGTGCGAGAAGCCCGGCTCCTTGCCCTGGGAGGGTCCCCCGTGCCCAGGAGAGGGCAGTGCCAGGGCAGACCCTGCAGAGCATGTTGGCCCGGGTGTCCAGGGGCACAGTGGGGGCTTTGGCGGAGAGATCCCATCTGCTGGGCTGCCTTGCTGGAGCAGGTGGGCTGGAAGCCAGGGCCTGGGGCTCTCTCCCCTTCCTGCTCCTGGCTGGGGAGGGATGGACACGCCATTGTTCTGGGGCTTGGCTCCTACTTGGTAGAGAGGGGCCAAGTTCTGGTTTCTCTGAAGCTCTCAGGAATGTTACCGGGCTTGCCAGAGTTTCCCGTCACTGACAGCATGCCAGTCATCTCGTGGACCAGCCAGCCAGAGGGCACCTCCAAGGGGCCCGCAAGATGGACACACCCTGGCAGGAGTCCTGGGGGAGGGCAGAGACCTGCTGGGGGCCAGGGGTGGGTGGCACTCTTGCAGCAGCATCCTCCTCTCAGGAGGAAGTAGGGAAAGTGCCCAAGAGGTAAGACTGAGGATGAGCTTGGGGACAGGCTGCACTCCTTCTGGGGACTTGGGGGCAAGCCATGCCTTTGCCAAGTTCACACACACGCGCGCGCACACACACACAGTATCTGTTAAGCTTGCTGTTTTCTGGAAGTAAACAGGGATGGGACTTGAGACTCCTGCAGATGTCAGGACCACGAAGTACATGCCATGCACCCTCCAAATCAGCTGGCCCAGCTCCGCCCTGACAGCCCCTGCACTGACCACCCCGCTGTGGGTGGCTGGGTTGGTGCCCCAGGCGGTGAGGTGAGATGAGCTGCGCGGGTGATGCTGGCTCAGCTCCCCCACCCCCGCCTGACGCCGCAGTCCCTCGCCGTTCTTTGGGAGACGCCTCCCTTCCCTGTCTATTTCTCTGTGTTTCCGCCACGCTTATGGTTCAGTGAGGGTCAGGCCAGCACTGGGGACAGAATAGAGGGTTCTACCTGCGGGGGCGGGGAGCAGCTGAGCCAGGGTGGCAGTGTGAGCGTGTGGGGCCCTCCAGCGGATCCCCCCGCTTCCTGGATGCCTTCCTTTGGGTCGTGGGGTTGCAGCAGGCTGCGGGCCCTCCTCTGCCTGTTTGCCAGGTGCTCCGTGTGGGGCTGCGGCGAGAGCAGAGCAGGGCGGCCGCGCGCCGCAGAGGTGCCGGCGGCGGCAGGTGGCAGCGTGCAATCACTCCTGCCTCCAGGGGTCCGACCTCCCTTCCTTCTCCGGGCCCAGCGGCCTCCCAGGTGTGCCGCGAGGACGGACAGACGGGGTCTGGGTGCAGGCCTCTGCAGGAGTGACAGGTGCCGTGGGGGGATGGGGGTGGGGCAGGTGCTGATCGGCCGCCCCTCCCAGCGGCTCAGAGCGAGGGCAGGATCGAGCAGCGCAGGCGCCATCGCCGATGCTCGCGCTTTAAACAGGAAGCGCCCAGAGGCCCCCAGCCCTCTCGGAGCCCCTCCCACCATGCACCCCTGCCCCTGGGGGCGCTCTTAGGGTTTTCTAGCCTTTAAAGAGCCTCTGTCCGGTTTCCCGGGATTACGGGGGCGCCGAGCGTCGCGATGGAGACGGGTCCCCGGGGTGGGATGCGGGCGGTCCCCCACACCGTCCCCAGCCTGGTTCCCGACGCGGCCGGCAGGGGCCGCTCCAGCACAGGCGCCGGAACCGACCCTGGAACAGGCTCTTTTTTCCCACCCCCACCGTAACCAGAGAAAAGTGTTTCAGGGCAAAGCGGGGGAAGAAATCGCCAATCGCTCCCGACTCGTTTGCTCCTCGGCTCCGAGTCGCAGCCGCCGCCAGCCCAATGCCGCTCCCGGACGGGGCGCACAGCCCGGGGGGTGTTTACAGGGGGGCGCGCGGCGGGGGCCACACCAACCGGACCTTCGTGTTCGACGACGGCCGATGCGCCGCCAGGTACGGTCTGCAGTGCCCTCCCCCACGTGGAGGAACCCCGGACGGGGCTCGTGCCACCCCAGGGCCCCTCATCCTCAAATCCCCACTTCCCAGGACTACCTGCTCCCCAGGACCCTGGAGCGTGGGGAGCGTGGGGAACAGGGGTGCCCTTCAGGACCCGGTCGCAGTGAGGCGAGCCCTTACTCAGATGACCAGCAGGTGGCCAGAGTGTGGCCATTCTTACCTGCGGGGCTGTGAGCATCTCCCAGGCACCACGAGGCGCAGACCCTGCGGGCAGGAAGCTGGAGTGCCTCGCATGCCAGAGGGGCCAGGTGCTGTGCTGGCCTCCCAGCCCCCTCTCTGGTCAAGCCTTGGGGAGGAGCCAGTGGGGGTGGCAGCGCTGTACCCAGCAAGGCACAGGGGCCAGGTTTCCCCAGGTAGAAGTGGGTTTTCAAGGGCAGCTCCTCCTAAGAGCCTTGTTTGGGGTGTGGGGTGCAGGTGGGGTGTCAGACGAAGGGCAGGAGTCCTGGGTTCTAGTCGCTTGGTGATTTTCGGCTGGTCACTTGTCTTTCAGGGTCCCTGCTTATTCATCTGTGTGAGGAGAGAATTAACTAACAGGGGCTTCCAGGTGGCCTGGGAGCCGACCTTCCCTGTGCAGTGTCCCACGATGCCACGAAGCTCCTGCCTGTCCAGGTGACTGGCACAGAGGGCACCGTGCCAGTGGGCGTCCCAGGAAGGGCAGAGCGGTGACAATCCCGACGGGAGTTTGCCCCAGGGCCCTGTCCTAGGGGCGCCCTCCCCACCCCACCAGCCCCAGAGGACAGGCACACACGTCTGCCCCTCACCCTGCGCCGGGAGCCAGACTCCAGGTCACCCACAGCCGCTGCCCTGTGTGTGACCCTCCCTGGCTGGGCAGAACCTTGGACTCTGGGTCCCGCTCGGTCAGCTGTTCTAAGGCCGGAGAAGGGGTGGATGCTGGGGTTCAAGGC